GGCTTGGGTGTCGTGAAGATTCTGGATAAAAGCAGCGGCGCATCAAATGGCCCCGCGAGCCCCCACCGAGAGGCTCTTGGCGGTACTTGATCCGACTGGGGCCCCCTGTTCCTTAACCATGACCTTGTGGTTCACTGGCTGTGTGTGTTGCGTCGTGAGATGGATGGATGGCTGTCGATGGTGACGATCCCCTTGCTCGTCAATGAACCTCGATTTTTGCGCTAGAGGACCCCCCCTCCGGAGACACAAATCTCCAGCCGATGAGGTCAAAAGAAAGTCCAGTGAAAGCCGTTGGAGATTTTGAACTTCTATCGTAATTCTTCGTGGCTGTATTCTGTTGAGAATACCTTATCTACTCTCCAGATTCACATCGATAAGTCTTATCACGCCTAGACCTTTGTGGCGCCGAGTGGCGTACCATCCCGGCTTTACAGGCATTGTTGCCCTGTGACGACACTGTTCAAGGCCTGTGCCATTTTTGAGCCCGGCGCCGATTGACGGGGATCAAACGGTTCGCTCTTGCGTGTTGATCTCGGGCGGCCGTTGAGAAATTCTTTTTCTTCCTTCCCAAGAACAACAATTGACATTAGGCCAACTGTTCCTGTTGACCGTCTTCCCCTCTCGTCGCTCTTTTACTACCTACCTACTCCATCTCGTGGACGTTGCGCTTCTCTCGCATACGAGTTGCCAACAACAATTGATCGCGGCGTCGCCGCCCGATTTCCTCCCCCTTGCGATAACGTTGCTTTGATCGCTTCCGAGATCGCGACACTACAAGTATCGAGCGCCGTCAAGGCCAATCGAACGATCGAACCTCTTGTATCCTTATTCCTATAGCCCAACATGGCGTGGAGTCACCTTGACATCACCAAGCCGCACTTGGTGTACATTATCCTCGGCGGCTTCACTTCACTTTTCATGCTCTGCTCGTCCTTTATCAAGGAGCGCATGTACATTGGTGAAGCCACAGTCGCTACCCTTTGTGGCGTAATCTTCGGTCCTCACGCAGCCAATTTGATCAATCCCCAGGAATGGGGTTCGACCGATATCGTTACCGTTGAGTTCTCACGAATTGTTCTTGTTGTACAATGTTTCGCCGTCGGTGTCGAATTGCCCAAGTTCTACATGGAGCGCCATTGGAAGTCTGTTGTCTTTCTTTTGGTTCCAGTTATGACCTTCGGCTGGCTCATTGTCAGTCTGTTCATCTTCTGGATGATCCCTGCGTTGGATTGGCTCGATAGTCTTGTTGTGGCTGCTTGTGTTACTGCTACTGATCCTGTCCTGGCATCATCTGTCGTAGGAAAGGGCAAGTTTGCAAAGCGAGTTCCTAAGCATCTTCGAGATTTGCTGTCCGCCGAGTCTGGGTGCAACGACGGAATGGCATTCCCCTTCATTTATCTGTCTTTATACCTTATTCAGTACAAGCGAGATGCAGAAGATGTGAGTTTTCATTTCGTTGTGTATGTTCTTCTCTATGAGTGCATCTTCGGCGCCATCTATGGATTTGCCATTGGTTACATCGCTCGCCATGGTATTAAATTCGCCGAAAAACGCGACCTCATCGATCGAGAGAGTTTCCTGGTTTTTTACTTCGTTGTTGCGCTCTGGTGCGCCGGCTCTGGTAGTATCCTGGGCATGGACGATTTGCTCGTCGGTTTCGCAGCAGGAGTTGGTTTCTCCAACGACGGTTGGTTCGGCGAGAAGACTGAAGAGTCTCATGTGTCCAACGTTATCGATCTTTTGCTTAACTTGACTTATTTCGTCTACTTTGGAACCATCATCCCGTGGTCGCAGTTCAACGATGGTCGATTTGGCATGATGGCTTGGCGTCTTGTGGTCATCGCCGTTTTTGTCCTTTTCTTCCGCCGGATTCCTATCATGCTCGCCCTCAAACCGTTTATACCAGACGTCAAAACCTGGCGTGAGGCATTGTTCGCTGGCCATTTCGGCCCAATCGGCGTGGGCGCAATCTTCGTTGCGATCTTGGCACGAGCTGAATTGGAGCATGGCGAACCGGTACCTTTGGCGGAGATGCCACCCGAGAACACTGAACATTATGAGCTCATATATCTCGTGTGGCCGATAGTGTGCTTCATGGTAGTCACGTCGATTCTTGTCCATGGTTCCTCAATTGCCGTCTTCACCCTTGGAAAGCGTATTAACACCTTGAGTTTGACCATGTCTTACACAGCTGCTCCCGAAGATGGACCGTCTTGGATGAACCGACTACCCCGAATCTCTTCTCAATCCAGATCTCAAGCTAGGTCCTTCTCTGAGGCATCCATCGACGAAGAGAAGGCACCCCAGCTTCCTCCCGATGCTTTGGTTCCTCCCAACGGGCCTTATAGTCATCTTTTGCGCAGACAGCGAGACCAGGGTGGCAGCCGCTCGTCATCGGTTGTGTCGCGAAAGCGCAAGCATAAGAACTGGGATGACAGTGGCCCCGGAGGACCGATTGCTCAGTCTGCAATCTTCCCTCAGCGACAATCATCTACGCCTTTATCCCCTACAGAACAGTACGAGCAAGAGGAATCACCCTCACAAGGCAACACCGAATCCACATTGGCGGCTGATGATAGCTCCAAGGAGAAGGATGCCGACAAGATCGAGAAGGCAGAAGATAGCCCTGCCGGCAGTAGCGGCCAGAAGACACCCCCCAAGACTGTGAACGTATACGAGGAGGGTCATGATTTGATATTTGAGAACAAAGATGGGGATGTTCTTGATGTCGAACCCGCTCCCGAATCTCACAGACAAGACGAAGACCATGTGCCCATCACAGCCGTCAAGCCTGGCCACGACAAGCTATGGACTATCTCTGGTTTCAAGAAGAGGGTGGGTGAAGTCTACAACACTGAATTGGAAAAGCGCAAGGAAAAGGGCCAAGATCGACGACATGAACCTGCCAGAGCCTACCAATTTGGAAACACAGTACGTGCATTCCTAGGATTACGTCAAGGGATTAACTAACAAAACATAGATTATTGTTGAAGACGAGGATGGTGAAGTCGTTAAAACCTATGAGCTGCCCACGACCAAGGGTGAGAACTCAGAAGCTGGTCCTAGTACCACACCCGGCGAGAAGTCAGCAGCCAAACCTGGCTGGGCCAATTTTGGAGGTGTATTCGGAGGCAACAGCTCAAATGAACAGACTAGGAAGAAGTCTATTGCGGAGAACCAAGAAGCCGATGACAAGGCTATTCGATTCACAATTGGCGGTGTTGGTCAACGCATGACTAAGGAGGACTTTATCCGTGAAGTACAGAAGCTGGATTCACGAACAAGGAAGGAGGTTGTAGAGCAATCATCTGCCTCGCAAGCCGTCAAGAAGGTTGCCAAACAGGACCTGCCACCCGAGACTGCAATCAAGGTTGCCAAGGCTGCTGAGCATCACTCTAGCGGGAAGGCGAAGGCAACGGAGGGTCCAGCTGCATCTCCCTCCCAGCATGCAGGCCCTTCAAGCCCATCCAAGCCGTCCGAAGAGCAGGGCGAGACAGCTGTTGAGCGCAAGCGCCGTCTCGCCGTTCTATCAGCTCAAGGGGACGTTGAACGAGAGGAAGAGACTGGCGAGACACCCGCTGAGAGGAGGAGAAGAGAGGCTGCTCTGGGAGTAGGCAATGGGGGTGATGACAGTGATGACGAGGGCACCGAGAGAGTGCCGCCTGGTCGACGAGGTATCACATTTGCTGATTCGGCACGGCCCAGCAGGGGAAGAGCTCCGAGGTAGTGGATGATTCCATTTAGAGCGGGTTTGTTTGCAATTTCTTTTTCGCATAGATAATGATATCCAGTATGATACTACTGATGATAAGGAGGTGTTGATTGCATGGTGCATCACATAGCGCATTATATAGGAATTATGTCATATTCTGACCTAGATACATGAAACCACGATTTACCCATGTCCACTTCTGTTGAGCCTGATTCCTCTCCGATGTTCTCCGTATTCACCATTACGTTGCTGTATGAAGTTCGTAATTACAACCATGACTCCCGTCAAATATCACGTGTCGTCTCACGTGAATGACTTGCTTAGGGGTTTCCAGCTCTCAGCTTGACTGGATCTCTAGGCTGTACTCAATACTCCATGTACTTGACTGAAGGGTGTTTTAAAATGTGCTTGCTGGAATTATTTTCTCCGCAACATATACCAGAATTTTGATACCCTCACTCAACTTTCCGCCTGACCTGTGAGACAATGGACTCCAGTGATGGCCAGCAAGACTCACCCCTCTCGATAAGCGCCAACGTCGCGGGCATGCTGACCTTTGTCGTTGCCATTGCTGCAGCATTCTATGCTCGCCTAACATTCCTCCGAAATAGCGACGATGAGTATTTCCGCGTCAAAACATCTTTGTCGTGGTACAAAACCGAATCCACTTGGCTGGCGGATCTCGTAGCAGCCATAAATGCACAACATGAAGGTTTCCATACACAGCAACCCGAATATCAGATGTACAACTTTGTGATGGAAGATCTATTGAATCTGGAGCAGCGTCTTCTCGATATTGTCGCTGAGACGGAGGCCAAGGCGAGTGTTGGTGACCAAGGGCAGTCATGGACACTCATGCCAAGGAACTGGAACGGGCGTACAACAGTGGCCATGGCATGGCTGCCAGTGAGGACGAAAGCTTTGGAGCTAGTGAGACAGCGAGAAGGTCTGACAGCGAGAGTGCAATTCATGCAAATGAGCATGATCTCATCTCGATTACGAGATCTGGAATCTAGGACGAAGTGGCGCGAGATGAAGATGGATGAGAGCTCGCGTAAACTCGAGTCTTTAGTTGAGAGTCAGAGAGATAGGATTCATCGATTAGAAGACCTGGTCAGCCGGCTGACACATCGTGATCGATCCGGCCTTTCGAGAGCCGGGACCTTGACAGATCTCGCGGTCAAGAGCGGCGAGTCGACCAAGTTGGCTGAGGTTGGTGGTTCCGCCACAACATCTGAGTCGGGAGATGCGAGTAATCCCAAGACGTCCACAGAAGAATAGACTTTGTTTATCGGAAACCGTATCCATTCTTGTAGGCATATGCCACTGCAATGCATAAACTCGGAAACGCCCAAAGGATGTCCATCTCGACGACCGCCCATACCCACAAGCAGCCTACAGGAGGAGCTTGTTTCATGACTGCTATGTATCCGTAGTTGTTGCTGATGTGAATGAGGTAGCAGCCGCCTACGGTGCTCGCGACAAAGAATATGGCTTGACGGACAGTCTCTTGGTATTGTTGAGGAACAAGCGGGAAGAATGACTTATGGGAGTAATGCGGGTGCAAGACGTAAAAGAGGCCGATGAACACTAAAGGAACATCACGTTAGTAGAAAAATTGGTACAGATCGCAGATATCTTACAAAGCCAAGCTGTAAAAGTCCTTTGAACAATGGCGAACCAATCAACTTCCATCGCATATTGCCGCTGTACTAGGACATCAAATGTGAAATGCACGGTGGCAATGACTCCAGTCCATAGTATTGTCTCAAAGATACGTTCTGTTCGAGGGGATAAGAGCGGGACTTCGCCGTTGAGCTCGCGTTGTCTTCGATCAGCTTCTGCGAAGAGGTCACGGCCCTTTGCGAAATCGACGAGTGTTTCCTTGGTGGGACCAGATCGATCCGGCTGTTGAAGTTTAATGTCCTTAACAGACTTTTCCTTTCGTTGACGAGCCATGGTCGGCAGTTGATGTTGGTTGTGTCGTAAGATGAAGCTCTTGGGCAACTTTGAGTAAAGTTCAAAGTTGAGGTTCACCTGAGGTTAACGTCAACGTCAACAGGTTGCCCCAATGGGCTAAGCTCATGACGCCGCAATGGAAGCTTCGGGCCCTGCCGTGCTCAACGCCACTACCCAACCTTCTGTAAATTGAGGGGCTCCCTTGAGCTTCAGCTAAGGGCATCGGGACAGTCTAGTGAGGCGGTGAACCGTTAGGCTCAGGTCTATGGGGGGTTGCCTTAGCGATTGGCATCTGCGACCCTCGTGAGCTCCTGCCCCTCCATGACCAAGTTTCATTTGTTATTTCTCGCGTCTCGTGCCACTTTTGTCTCAGCCATCACGACTCGTTTATGACCCAGGTCACGGCCAGCTTCTGATAGGAGCCAAGTCTTTGCTCTTAACAACTCAATTGACCTTGGTGTAGCTCCTAGTCTCTGCTCACAGCTCATATAGACCTTGCGCTGCTGTAGCGATCATCATCCACATCCATCCGGTACCCAATAGCCGAAATCGCAGTTCTCCAGCAATCTCGTCGCAAAAGGAGCCGTACCACCGTATTCGAAGCGACCGCAGATATGAACGTTCTTCACATCTTCGCCGGCCTCGCCGTTGTGGTGCCAGGCATCTACATGTTCACAGCCAGCACTGCCCAATCGACTATCAAGAACAAGCGAGTTTGTCTCTTGATTGCGCACCCCGACGACGAAGCCATGTTCTTCTCCCCGACCGTCCTCGCCCTCACACGACCCGAGAACGGAAACCACGTCAAGATTCTATGCCTAAGCACTGGTATGAGCCGACTGCAGCGACCCGTGCCTTGCAGTCGCATCGTGATGCGACTACACAAATTGGTTGAAAGCAGTTTTGGCTGATGTAGACTTTGGCGTGTTATAGGAGATGCCGACGGATTAGGAGAAGTTCGCAAGAAGGAGCTGGTCAAGAGTGGCCTGGCGCTGGGACTGCAGAGCGAGGACGATGTTTTTGTGGTCGACAACCCGTATGTTGAATACCTTTGTCACTATCTGGCACTTACAGCCCAAGAACCTGACTGATACCTCACTTATAGCACCGACTTCCCCGACTCCATGACGAGAATGTGGGACAAGAACCTGATTGCTCGTCTGCTAGGAAGCACGTTTGCGCCCAAGTTTGGCCAGGAGCGTAAGAACAATCTGAAGCCCACTGCCAACATTGACATCCTCGTTACATTTGACAGCAATGGCGTGTCTTCTCATCCCAACCATATCTCTCTCTACCTGGGTGCCAGATCCTTCATCCAGGCCCTTACCACCGCGTCCGAGTGGCCGAGCCCGGTCGATCTATATACCCTTTCCACCGTAGGCATTGTGCGCAAGTACTCCGCCTTCATGGACTTTATTCCCACGCTACTCTCATCCATTGGTGCCAAGGATCAGGATAAGGAGCGACCCGAAAGCCTGGTGTTCATGAACCAGCTCGTTGGTCGTGGTGCCTATGGCACTGCTTGGAGCGCCATGACACAAGCGCACAGAAGCCAGATGGTTTGGTTCCGCTATGGCTGGATCACCCTCAGCCGGTATATGGTCATCAACGATCTACGTCTTGAAAAGGTTAAGCCACAGTGACGAAAACGAAAAGCAAAGGAACCGCATGGCACGGGGAGTTTGGAACGTATCTTACATATTCACTATTTGTCTGTAAGACCTTGGCGTACGATTTACTTTTGTATCTTACCTGCATGTAAACACGAATATACGAAAACCAGGCAGGATGTCTAGAATGCAAAATGCTCAATGGTTGGGGTCTGGTGGTGCGGGCATGAAATATTGAAATAATATTATGCATTACGAATGCCATGACCTCGTGGTTCTAGGGTTCCGTCTACCTAAACGCCCTGAGAAGAAAAAAACATCATTGAAGCTCCTATCTCATTAGGTTCCCTTGATCGGCTTCCTCTGCATAACCTGCTTGAACACTTGCAGTGCAGTCTCAGGTTCTGTTCTTTTGTCAGCCCGTATTCTGGGTGATGTCAGAGGTACTCACGATAATATGGCACTGAATGTCCCGCCTCCCAAACCTTGAGGAAGGACAGATTCTCTACCGTCTTATATCGGCCATGGGCTGTGCCGTTGACCGTGTAATTGCTGAAAGGCGCTGCTACAAACTTCTTCTGGCCAGGCCACTCGAGCGCATAAGATGCCCATAGGACGCCCTCCCAGTTGCAGATCCAATCTGTGAGATGTAAATCAGTTTCTGTCCTAGTTGTGTCACCAACTTCCCACTTACCAGTATCTCCAGCCCACAGAAGCGTGTTAATGCCACGCTTCACAACGTCTGCCAAAGGCCCGACATATGAACGCGCACCTGTCCCATATCAGCATTAATCCTCAACCTCGCCGTCGCAGGGGCACTGACCATCTCCCGTCGTTGCCATGTTTGCATAAACTGTGTCACTGCACTCGGCGAAACGGGTGTTGGCTCCAATCGCATCCATAACCTCAGCCCGCGTGAGATATTCAAGAAACGTCTCCGGCGGGTCAACATCATCCCTGCCGATACGCATATCGTAAACGTTGAAGTCGGTTCTGCCTGCAATCTCGAGGTTGGTGTACATTTGGGTGTTGCACGCATCATCAGCCTCCGCGCATTCATCATCTTGACCCTCGAGCTGGGTGCAGTTGTTGATGAAGGGTAAACAATACTTATTGTAAGCGTCGATGAAACGAGTGAGGAGTTTGTTGTTAAGAATCTGTTTGTAGGGGTTGCGGTTGGCATATGTTGCGTAGGATTTGAACTGCCGCTTCGAATCGATCCAGCCGTTGTTGATGCCCAGCGCTACCATATCGACCTTGTGGCCTTCAGCATCGCCCTTCTCGATTTGGTCATTCTTCTTGAGGAAGTAGTCGGCGAATTCAGGGCCGTAGTGTCCACCGTAGGATTGTGTAAATAGACCGAATTCTCTGGATTTGTACTTGGGAAACCGGTCCAAGAAGACTTGCATAAATTTCCAGATGTAAGGGGCAGCTTGTGCTGTAGAGTTGACATCTTCAGTTCCAACACTGAAGCCAGTACCGATTGGCTGATCGATGTAGAGCATGTTCGCGTACTCGTTCCAGGAATGAGGGTTGAGGGATGGCTCGGTGTCGTTATTGACAAAGTGACAAGGCCCATGTTCCGTGAAGAGGCCTATCATTGAGGAACATCCAGGACCGCCGTTGAGCCAGATAGCGAGGGGGGCCTTCTCAGCATTGTGACGAGCTTCGAAGAACCAGAACCACATGCTATGGTTTTTCCCTGTATCAATTTTATGAGAAAGGGCCTTAGGGCATCAAGTAGGATCAACTTACCAACAGACAAGTATCCAGAGTATTGGCCAACACCAGGTGTCGTCTCGCAGATTCCTGAATTGGTCACATACTCAAGCTTCGAGTCGGTAGCGGCATGTTTGAAGACAGTAAGGCCATGGCGCTCCAAGGTTCTGAACTGTCTACTATCAGGAGCAATACCGCCGAAAGCACTGACCGATCCAATGAGTCCTAGAAGAGCCGTCGAGATAGACGAGAAGCGCATTTTAACGATGTTGGAGGATGACGCTTCCGTAGCCCAAGCAGGAATGAACAGAGGCAGGAGTTTATGTAGGTATTTATAAAGTCAAGCATCCTGCCCTGCTCTGCCCGTCCAGTGTGGGACGAGATCCTGGTCACTCGCCATTGTCAGGATCTACATTCTAGGTTCTACAATAAAACGGGCATTATTGATGGTTCAAGTGTTTGGTTTGATTAGGCTAGACTGTTTCTCCGATTGATTGCAATGTTCCAATTCAGTTGTGACGTGCACCTAAAAGGATGCGCGCTTGGACGGATGTGTCCAAGCATGGAAGCTCCGTTGCTTCAGAATTCGGTGCATCGCTTTTTGTTACTTGGTCTGTGGACATACGGCGGATTTAAATTGTCCGTAGCATAAAGGATCTGGAGGGACGCGAATGTAACTCAAACATTGGTTGTGATCGTACGTTGAGGAAACATTGCCCTTGTCCCGTCCGTCTATCAATAATAATTCCCTGCTAGGTCTGATCGACAGGGGATCTACTGAAAGGGATATTCTAGCTGCAGAGTCCTACCTGGAGAATGCCTTCACCTTAAGACCGAGCATTTCTCCCTTCAACCAAAACAAATCCGAGCCATACATGTCGGGACAGGTTCTGTTCAACATTGGCTCAGCGTCAGAAGCGAGCCGAGCGGGTGGAACGATACAGCAAGCAGCCTGAGAGGCTAGGTAATAAGCGGGAGTCTGCAGGTTCAACGGATAAAATCATGGATTGTTTCACAGCATGAAACAGCATTTCTTAATTGTAATTTAACGCATATCTTGAACATGACGTTCGACTTGGACATTGCAAATTGCTCTTCATGTGATAAGTGAATACGATGTATGCATATATGGATACGATGCACAATTCACGGTACGTAGCAGGATACACCTAGAGATTTAATGAGATATAGTATAGTCTAAAAAGCGTCTTATCTATTCAACAATCTTACCGACAAAGAATCATGGCGGCGATATTGATGTTTGGTGGCCCAAGTGTCGAGTCTCTATATACACTACATCCCAAAGCAGTTGACAATAGGTCAGCTCCTCAGCTGGACGCCATTCTCCCCTCTCCTACATCAATGAACCACGTCTCTCGTATGTTCATCCCGTTTGCGACATTGTAGGATATCCCATAACGTCAAAATGTTTTCTGGTGATCTCGCCTATGTACGCCCAGCTACAGCGCACAAGCGGCGGAATGTCATGTCAATCGCTCTTCGTGACATGAAACCTGTGAGAACACACGAGAGCCCGATTGAGTGCTACACCCCAGACGAGGACACGAACCACAAAGAAATCGCCGACAGGTTGCTGCATCAGAGAAACGGCCTGAAAAAAGGTCAAGAAGCAGCCATGTCCACACTGAAAGCTCAGTTGCACGACAACGC